TTGAATCCAAGTATACACTGCCTGGCCCAGGGTTTGAACTCACAATTACTATGTCCTGAAATTCACAAATCAACACCTTAATCCAGTTGTTCCCAAACAGTATTATGTGTCTTATAGGTGCAACATAGGAGGATAGAAGGTGACGCAGAATGATTGACAGACAAAGATTTTTAAACAGTTTTAAAAAATTCATATGACTATGATATAATTTCAAAATTTAAAATATTATTATGGCTTACTTGTAATTGCATGTATGAATCCCAGTATAAATAGTTATAAATGTTATAGACAAGCGTATGGTTGCAAGAAAGAAATATGCCAACAGCAGAAATAGATTTACGTGGTTTATTTCAACAGGAACGTGTGGGTTTGGGACAGATACCTTGTGGTAAAGTTCATAAGCCGGTTTCGGATCTAGGTCGATCTCTCATAGTAGTTCACACATGTTGACGGTGGTTGGTGCTCTCCTGCTGCTGATCGCTCGGCCTGACCGTGACGGTCTGTTTGCGACCACCTGTGGACTGATCGTTGAACTTCCCTGTGACCCCTTTTATAGCGTTTTTTTTATGGCTTAACAGGCTCGAAAAACGAAGCGAGTGTAATTAGGAGGGAAGTATTTTTATTGGACGAAAAATAGAGCACTTTAAATATTATTTTATTTTTCGACCGGAACACATGTGTCGGAAACATTTGTAAAGAAAGATAATGGTCATTTTGTGACGGGACTTTGTCCCATTTACATCCAGTTCTCGCTCTTGAGTATTTGCCTGTAAATCAGCCGAGATATGTCTTATTTTATTTTATAACATAAATAATTACTGACCGATTTTATCACTGATATTTTTGCATTATATCAAATACTAGCGGTATAACCCGTCTTCGACCAAGTGTCTCATTACTGGGAATTTTTGCCGTTCACTTGGAGAAGTTTAAGTTTAAAGTCAGCACACCTGAAAATCAGTATGAGTAACAACATTTGGGTACAATTGGGGCACATCCCCAAATGGGGGTTAACAATTTGAATGGGGAGTGGCCCTGAAAAGAGCCGTTTTTGTGTTCTCAATCTTGCAAGGAAGAAATCTCTTCCATGGACTGTCATAATAATAATATACGATAATTTTTATTTATAATATAATTTTTTTATAATTCTAATAATCTTTTGCGTTAGATTTCAACTCTCTAAATTGATTGTATGCTGTTTTTTACAGACATAAAATTTTTCCTTTGATTTTTGCGCAAAGTGTAAAAAATCAGTTTTTTCGATTTTTCACCTTCAAGGTTGTAATTTTTTCCAGCCAATTTGGACTCAAAACCAACACTGAAGAATTATCTATCAAACAAAAAAAAATTCATCAAAATCAGATGAAAGCTGTGAAAATGCATAAACAACATCCGATCACAGACACACATCTTGAGAATTATATAGATTAAGAATTTAGTAACTAGGGTCTGCAAATTGGAGGAGAGAGTTATCAGTGATAGTGTTTGAATCTGCAGTTATCACCCTTTAACCCTGCCTTTAATTTTTTTATTTAAATGTACTTTTTATCACATAAAATTTTGTGAGGTGCAAGCAAATTTTCATTTCGAAAATGCTTCCCAGATATTTAATCCTCTGCAATTGCTTGATGCTCATATTTCCAATTCATAATTCACGCCTTCGGCTTTTCCATTTGCCGATGACCATATTTTCTGTTTTCTTGCATTTGATAGTCCTTTTTTTTCTCGTGTTCTTCTATAACCCAGTCGAGGAGGTCCTGTAACAACTGCTAAAAAAAAAAAAAAAAAGACTTTTAAAAAATAGAAAAATTGAGAAACTTATTTGCCAAAAGCAAGGTCTATGTCTTTCTTATCACAGAGGATCAACAAATAGTTATTTTCCCCTTTTCTATTCACACAGCAATGCAGATTTCACTCAAATTTTCATTGCCTGATTTTAAGTGCCTCCAATTTGTAATTCACATCCAGGGTTGTTTTATTTGATGACAACCATATATTCTGTTTCCATATGTTTAAAAGTAAATTTGAATTCAAATATAGAAGGATTGATGTATATAACAGTTTTTAACAAGATTTTCCTCTTTCTTAATACTTTGCTTAGCTTTTGGAAGGCTACTTTTGCTATCTCAATTCGCCATCAGATTTTTGTGTTGCATTTTCCATCCTGTTAAAATCCCTTCCTTGGTATATAATGTTTGTACTTATCTGATTTTAAGTGTCCCCAATTTGTAATTCGCATCTTGTGTTGTTTCATTTGATGACATTCATATATTCTGTTTACATATGTTTAAAAGTAAATTTGAATTTAAATATACGAGGATTGATGTTAAATAACAGTTCAGTACTCTTTTTAATGAGATTTTCCTCTTTCTTAATACTCTGCTTAGCTTTTGGAAGGCATCTTTCGCTATCCCAATACACCTTCAGATTTTTGTGTCGCATTTTCAGTCCTCTGTTAAAACACTTCCCAGGTATATAACCTTCTGCACCTGCTTGATGTTGACATCTCCAATTTATCATTCACACCTTCAGTTTTCCTCTTGCTGATAACTATATTTTCTGTTTTCTTACAGTCGATGGTTAGTCCTTTTTTAGGGCCCTGTTAGGGCCCCGGCTATGGGTAAATAGTTAGCACCCAGACTATATCCACATCCTGGTTATGACTATAAACTACATCTGCGTCCTGGGTAAGACAATAAACTATGTCGAACAGCATCCCCAAATCTACATCCGCATCCTGGGTATGACAAACTACATCTGTGTCCTGGGTATGATGATAAACTATGTCCAACAGCAAGGCCTCTGATAATACGTTTTTGAAAAAATAATGTTGCCAGCTGTACGTTTTTGAAAAAATATTATCAGTTATACGTTTTTTTTTTTTTTGTTGTTTTTTTGTTTTTGTTTTTTTTTTGTTTTTGTTTTTTTTTTGAAAGAATAGTGTTGCCATCTATACATTTTTGGAAAAATAATATTACCGGCTATACGTTTTTGAAGAAATATTATCATCAGCTATACATTTTGGAAAAATAGCATTACCAGCTGTTGTTTTGGAAAAATAGTATTACTAGCTATACATTTTTGAAAAACTATTACGAGCTATACATTTTTGAAAAGTAATATTACCAGCTATACATTTTTGAGGAAAAAAATATTAACAGAAATAGATTTTTGACATAATAAAAATATTACAAAAAAAAAAGTTGTCGGCATTAAATGACCCATTGAGGTTGATGTGCCATAAAGCCAAACAAACCAAAACTTTTTTCTTGCTTTCTTCTACCACACAGTCGATGAGGTCCTGTAACAAGTGCTAAAAATGAAAAACTTTTAAAATAAAAACAGTTGAGAAACTTATTTGCCAAAACAAGGTCTATGTCCTCATTACAGGAAGTCAACAAATGGCTTCTCTCCCCTTTTCTATTCGCACAGCAACACAGATTTCATGTCTTGAGCTTTTGGACTTTTTTCTGACCATTATTAAGATCAGGGAAAATCTGTATATTTTGTATATGTTTAACTGTTCAAATATTTTTAAACTCAGAGGTCGTGAACATGGTTACCTGACAGCATGAATTCATCCCTCGAGCTAAACATATCTATCAATACCTAAGTTGAATTACTCTCAATTCTACCATGTTCAGAATGTAAAAAGGAAGCTTTTTTATGTTTTTATTTTGCAGTTAATGTTAGTTCTTTTTTCCTACCACCCTGTGCTAGAGGTCCTGTAGTTTTCTTTCCGAGACAGCCATCAACACAGTGTCATCTGCTTACCTTACATAGTTTTGACTATGGTGGGGGTCTCCTTGTTTCCTTAGGATAGCTTTGCTGTAGAGGTTGTGTTGTATCATTGAGGTGAATGATACACAGAGAAGAATGAGTGCTTAATATATTTATTCAGCACCAGTATCTGGTACTAAGGGATACATACAAAAAACAGAACAATAAGTTACAAAACAATCAACAAGACAACTTACAAGGGATAAAGGAGGGTCAAATACTGTATAGCCAAACAAAGTAAAATCAATCCAAATATTAATCAGCTTAGTATCAACTTATTATTCAACTACTGAAGTCCTTAATCATAGATTATTTAAGGCTATGAACCAGGCCATCTGGTAGAGTGCTGAAGAGGTGCTAGCTACTCTACAACAGAACATGAATTATGAAGACAGCAGATAACAATGACATTGCATTTAAATTTTTGAAGATAAAATTGACTGGAAAGCAAGAATCCAGAAGAGAGTTCCACAGGTGAGAAGTGTAATAGAAGAAACTGTTAACATAGAACTTAGGGTTATATATAGCCATTTCATCTGTAAAATGACGAGACCTTGCCACCAATTTAGTACTGCACTTAAATTCATAAAAGTACCATAGAGGAAAGTTCATCTGAAAAATGACCATGAAAATATTTATAGAAAAGGCACAGCAAAATTACGTCATAGTGGTGGGAAAGTGACTGAATCCAAGATACCAGGTCAGGATGGATAACATTGCATGCCTAAACGTATAAGATAGGTTCTGGGAGGGATAGCAAAGAGATATTATTTAGAGCTACAAAGAATAGGAAGTTGTGGAGAGCCATGATCACCCATACTCTGAAGGTACATGGCAAAGAAACAATTGATTATTTGGTATATTACTATTTCTTGATTATCTAGAATGCTCTTCAAAAACCCATGTTTGGCAGAAATTATATTTGTGGAAAGCCTGACAAAGCATTTCAAGGGGCAAAGATTTGGTGATCTTTCTATATTATTCTATAAAGGGGTGCTAGCTACTCTACAACAGGTTAAATAAATCTGGGGAGAAGATGCATCCTTGTCTCATGCACCTTCTTTTTATCAAAGCCTAATGGCGAGGGAATTAAGAAAATGGCTGATATTACCATTACCATTAAGTCAAATTTAGGTACAGTTGCTTTGTAAATTTGTTGCTTACTAGGAACAAATTATGTCATTTTTCTTCCTTTTTATTTTATATTCTATTTTTTCCAGATCTCGCAAAGTGATAAATCTGGCCAGAGAATTGAGTCCAATGTATGTCCGCATTGGAGGAACATTGCAAGACTTTGTCTACTTTGAAGAGATGCCAGCAAAGCTGAATTATAGTCACAGAAAATCTCCAGATTTAAAACCATTTAATATAACAAGTAAGGCATTTGCCCTTTGACCGCTATTAAGATAGGAACATTTATAGAGATGTAGATTTTTCAAGTATAGACACTCCCCTACTTAAAAATGTTTAAGTTACAAACTGCCTTCTTCTTTGTGTTGTGTCCCCTCAAGTTGTAAGAAATCATGGCTCTCCACAATTTCCTGTCCCTTGTAGCTCTTAATAAATTGTCTTTAGGTTATTTCTCTTAAACCCTGTTCTACTATCCATTTACTCAAGCTCATTCTTCTATATGCCGTGTCCCATCAGGATGTAGGCAATCATGGCTCTCCACAATTTCCTGTCCTTTGTAGCTCTTAATAAATGTTGTCTTTTGTTATCTCTTGTAAAGCTCATTCTATTCACAAGGCAGCTTATTCACTGCTTTCTTCTGTCTCACTTTCCTTCAATCTGTCCTGTGAGTATCAGATTTTCTAAACACTCTTTCCTCATTATGTGCTCTAGAAATTTCAACTCTCTCTCTTCCTGATAAGTATGTTTCCTTTTAGTTTCCATTTTTCTCTCTGATGTTTGTTCAATGGTATCCACAGCATCTTTTTATAGAACCACATTTTTGTTGCTTCAAGTCTCTTCATTTTTGAGGAGATTATCCAGCATTCACTGGCTTGTGGGAGGACAGATATCACATAATAGTCCAGTACTCTTTTCTTTGTCAAAGATACAAAAAAAATGTCTAAATTTCAGGGATGAAGGGTTATAATTATTTATTTTCAGATTATCATCCTCATCGTTATTTTTTTTTGTTATCACAACATTTTGGTCGTTATGCCCTCCAACCTTTATAAGGTGTATGGAATTCAAAAATGAACCCTTTATGTAATCCATGGGGATAGACTCTTCTTGTTCCACTACCCGTGTCTAGGGATATCTTCTCTAGTTCTTATTGTTAATGGTTTCAATCCATATCAAAATGAAACACCAGTTCCCATAATGAAGAATCAAAAATATGACACTCATCTTTGCAAGAAGTTCCCAACTAGCATCCAGTTGGCAGACAAAAAGAAAGTAGGCTGTAACTCAATACAGAACCTAGACAGCATTCACAGCATAATGATTAATATTTATTGAGCACACTATCCACACCAAAGTCAGCAGCCAATCAGGACCTATAGAATAGGCTTGCCCAAGTATCAGAATGGAACATCCCAGTCTGTTATATAAACTACTGTTGTAGAGTGGTTTCACAGTGGAGGCTTGTATTTGTACTAAGTCGGTCCTAAAATAGGTTCGACGTACAAAACGTTAGGAACTTGATATAATAGGTAATGACACAGAGAAATCTAGTGGCAGTCGCTGATACTTTAATATCCGACTAACAGTCGTCTGACATCGACTGACTGACCAACTCACTGAGCTGACTGACTTGTTACTCTTACTTATTATAGGTGGGAGAGTCTATTAACTATAGAATAGGTGTGTTCCACTATAACAATTACTCACCAACTGGCCCAGACAAGCGGCTAGAGCAGGCTCACTACAACTAGGTCATTGACTGATATATCCTGACACATAGAATAAGTATCTATATTTCTGAGATGAGGTATTATGTAAACACACAACACTTTGGGTCCTGTCACTGGATCTAACCAACGCCTTTATCCACTATGCTATGTGTCCTTAAGGACATCTGTGTATGAATTTCTGTGACTTATAAACTTAATGTCTTCAGCGACCATTTTTACCAGTGACAGGACCCAAAGAGTTGTGAGTTCAATATCTGGTTAAGGCAGTGGAGAACTTGGAGAGGTGAATTAGCTGAAGATAACTGATAACTGACATTAGACATGGCACGTAGAACTAGAACAGTCTATCCCAGCGAGCGAAATAAAGGGTTCAGTTCGACATTCCAGCCACCTGAAGAAGGCCAGAGCATATAACGGACGAAACATTGTGATAAATATGGCAACAAAGATGAGGATAACAGTCTGAATAATGTAAATAGTGTACATAGAATGTTATTATATCTACTAGCTGAGAAGCAGTTCAACATGGTGTAATGGTTAACGAGCTGGTCCCATTAAAATAATTACGACTGAACAGTGAGCTATATCTACTACTAGAATACTCATAATATGGTCTGGGGGGGGGATAAAATGTCCTTGAAGTTCTCTGTCCTCCATAAAATTTCTGGAATTCTTTTTACCATTATGCAAAATCCTCTTGAATTTCCTACTCTGGATATAGCCATTGCCATTTAGAGCTGACCATGAGAGCAGCATTTCAATAATTTTCTAATGTTTATTTTAATAATCGTAATAAAAGTTAATTCAGCATTTAAATACGACAGGACAGTTTTTATGCAGTGGTCCTGCATGAAGTATTTCCAAACATTTGGGCTCATAACTCCAGAAACAAGGCCGGTGCTAGGGTCTCAGGGCCTGCCCCCTCCTGAAAGTTAGATATGCCCCCCCCACACACACACACACAATCTCTCTACTACATGTGGATTTCAAAGTTGCCCAACCCAGAGTCCACAAATCCCCAAAAGAAAATTGGGAGGGGAAGAGCAGTGCTTTTTGTTAAATTACCAAAAATCAAGGAATTATTCAATTTAAATGAAAAATATCCATACATATTCATTAATTATTTACTTTTATAATGAATAGGTTTTTTTATTTTGAAAAGATCTGAGAAAATGTTATTCTTTTCGTAATAACCATGAATATTTTCATAACTAAATTTTACTCGAAAAAATGTTCAAGTTGCAAATTTTAACGTTTCCATAAAAAATAATCACCTACACATCTCTGCTTAAAAAAAATAGTTTTACAAAGATTCCAACACAACACAAACAGGATTGTCTTAAAAATTTGTTTTAAAAACAGTATTTCAGTTTTCTGGAAAATATTTCATATGTTTAAATCTTTAAGCATTTTTATTTTTTAAGTGATTATTTTCTCAGTTTTATCTTTCTAGAAATGTAAAAAATAGGGACTAGAAATTACTCTCTGTAAACTTCTGGTTAACATTGCTATTAATAAAAAAAATCAGAGATTCTCCTTAGTGGATGATCTAGGAATAAAAAATGTTCTTACCGATATTACCTTCTTAATTGATTTAAAAGAAATGTTCAGAAAGAAAATTACAATCTAAAAAAATAAATGCTACTGAAATTAACACTTCTGCCCCACTTCCCCAGTAGGTATGGGGCCTCCACTTTTTTGGTAGGGTGACCTCCTGTTCTTTTTCTTTTCTTCTCTCTTTTTTCTTTGTTATTTTTATCTCACCTTATTTTCTTTTTCTTTCTTCTCCTTTTCTTCTACTTTTTTCTCACCTTCTGTTCTTTTTTCCTTCTGTCTTCCCTGGTTCCTCTTTTTCTATTAACCTTCTCTTCATTTTTCTTTACTTCATTCACTTCTCTTTTCACTGCTCTTCACCTTTTCCTTTTTCTTTTCAATTTCTTCTTCTTCTTCTCTTCAATGTCTTCCTCTTCTTTTTCTTCAATTTCTTCTCATTCTCTGCAATTTCTTCTTCTTCTCTGCAATTTCTTCTTCTCCTTTTCTTCAATTTCTTCTTCTCCCCCTCTTCAATTTCTTCTGCTCCTTCTCTTCAATTTCTTCTTCTTCTTCTTCTCCTTCTCTTCAATTTCTTCTTCTCCTTCTCTTCAATTTCTTCTTCTCCTTCTCTTCAATTTCTTCTTCTCCTTCTCTTCAATTTCTTCTTCTCCTTCTATTTCTTCTTCTTCCCCTCTTCAATTTCTTCTTCTTCTTCTTCTCCTTCTCTTCAATTTCTTCTTCTCCTTCTCTTCAATTTCTTCTTCTCCCCCTCTTCAATTTCTTCTGCTCCTTCTCTTCAATTTCTTCTTCTTCTCCTTCTCTTCAATTTCTTCTTCTTCTCCTTCTCTTCAATTTCTTCTTCTTCTCCTTCTCTTCAATTTCTTCTTCTTCTCCTTCTCTTCAATTTCTTCTTCTCCTTCTATTTCTTCTTCATCCCCTCTTCAATTTCTTCTTCTTCTTCTTCTTCTTCTTCTTCTGCTCCTTCTCTTCAATTTCTTCTTCTTCTTCTTCTCTTCAATTTCTTCTTCTCCTATTTCTTCTTCTTCCCCTCTTCAATTTCTTCTTCTTCTTCTCCTCCTTCTCTGCAATTTCTTCTTCTTCTGCTCCTTCTCTTCAATTTCTTCTTCTCCTTCTCTTCAATTTCCTCTTCTTCTTCTTTCCATTCATTACTTCCCTTTCCTTTCTTTTTTATCTTCTCCTCCTCTTATATGCCTTTCTTTTTCCTTCTTCATTTTGTACAGGGAAGCAAACAAGTCAGTCTTTTTATCACTTCCCACTTTATCAAAACAGCATTTTTCCCACTGCCATAACATATCTTCCTTGTGCCTTTTCTATAAATATTTTTATAGCAATCATTCTTACAGGTTTTTCCTCTCTAGGAATTCAAAAATTTAAGCACAGCACTAGATTGGCAGCAAGATCTGACGATTCTACTGTTGAAATGATAAGAAATAACCATAAGTTCTATTCTAATAGTTTTTTCTCTTCCATTTTCTAGCTTTATTGTCAACTATGATCTTCAAAAATTTAAATGTAACATCAGTCGTCATTTGTCTCATTGAATCCTTTCTTTATTCTCTTTTCTTCTCAGTAACATATTCTCCGTGTCCTGTTTGTGAGATGTCATTGTTTACAACTTCAGTGATTAGCTACTTCAATAATTAAATGCATATGGTTTCGTAAGGAAATAATTTATAGTACATGAAATAAAGGTTATAAAGAAGAGTAGATGAAAAAATAGGAGTACTTCATAAAAGAATACTACTCCCTACTGATGAACTGGATTATTTCTCAGGGTTATGAGCCCAAAGTTTTTAAAGTACTTCATAAAGGAATACTATTCCCTACTGATGAACTGGAAGATTTCTCAGGGTTATGAGCCCAAAGGTTTTAAAGTACTTCATAAAGGAATACTACTCTCTACTGATGAACTGGATGATCATGGCTCTCCACAATTTCCTGTCCTTTGTTGCTCTTAATAAATTTTGCTTTTTGTTATTTCTTCTAAACTCTGTTCCACCATCCATGTACACAAGCAGATTCCTCTCCTTATATGTGCCATGTCCCTTCATCATGTAGGCCATCATGGCTCTCCACAATTTCCTGTCCTTTGTTGCTCTTAATAAATTTTGCTTTTTGTTATTTCTTCTAAACTCTGTTCCACCATCCATGTACACAAGCAGATTCCTCTCCTTATATGTGCCATGTCCCTTCATCATGTAGGCCATCATGGCTCTCCACAATTTCCTGTCCTTTGATGCTATTAATAAATTTTGTCTTTTTGTTATTTCTCCTAAAACCTTGTTCTGCCATCCATTTACACAAGCCCACTAAGTAAGTTACGCATTGTTTTCTTGTCTGTCTTGCTTTCAATCTATCCTGTGAGTATCAGATTTTCCAAGCCCTCTTTCTTCATTATGTGCCCAAGAAATTTCACGTGTCTCTTCCTAATGTTAAGTATAAGTTTCCCCTGAGTCAGAAACAAAGCCAAAGACAGAAAAGTGTTGCAAGAATTAATTAAAATCTATAACCCCTAGTGTCTTAGTGGCTTTATCACCTTGCTTGGTCTGAAATGATTAAAAACTAAAAGAAAATCTGTTTATTTTTTCAGGGACTCAAATTGATGAACTGTTTACTTTTGCTTCCAATGTTAACTGGGGTGTCATCTTTGGGCTTAACATGCTTAACCGAAACCCTGTTTCTTGGGAACCTTGGGATGCCTTCAAACTAATCACTTACATCCACAAGAAAGGCTATAAGCTTGCTGGACTTGAAATGGGTAACGGTAAGTATTTTTAAATTCACTTGAATATTCTAAGTGCTCATTCTTGGTTCTATCCCGGGTAAGATGATAAACTACGTCCGCATCTTGGGTAAGATGATAAACTACATCTGACAGCAAGGCCTCTGATCAGGAGGTTTTGAGATGCATAGAACCACTTCTTAATTGCTAATGTTCCCAGGTCCACTCTGACCCAGGGTGGTAGCACCCGCTAGGGTACCAGCTATGGGCAAATAGTTAACACCCAAACGTGGGTCAAAAAACTATGAAAGTGTAAAAATAGGTTTTAATATCAGAAATACTTTTTAAAACAAATTATTACCAGCAATACATTTTTTTGAAAAAAAAGATATTACCAGAAATATATTTTTGAAAAAAAAGAAAATTACCAACAATAAAAATTTTGTTGGCATTAGATAACCCATTGAGGTTGATATGCCATAAAACAAAACAAACCAAACCAAACCATTCTTTGTTTCTGTTCGGCATCCAACTTAAAATATTTGACAAAATAGAGTTGGATAAAAAAACGTTGATGGCCGTCATTCCATGAAAGTTTAATTTTTTTTTTTTTTATATTTTAATACAGGGACAGTAAAGTAATGGATAGTGGCTCAGATTGAGGAATCAGGGAGCCAAGTTTGAACTCAAGTCACATTCATTACATTCACTTATGTGCAAATACCCTACTCCCTTCTGACCCCCAGCTATGGGTAAATAACAAGACAGCTTGTGTCATATAGCCTTGGGTAGCAACTGGTCTAGGAGAGGGACAATACTGAATTTAAAACCTTCAATTATGTATTAAATAGCCTCACCAACCCATAATTGGCCAAGTATGGTGTGTAAGGCTACACTCATACCAGTGCAAGGGTCTTGTGCTCCATCCTCCCACAAAAAATCTATGATATAGAGCCCACCACTCTACTACATCTGAATAAATTAGTACATGCATTCCTCAATTAAGGCATTTTCACTTAGTGCGCTAAAATTTTTATATTCCAAAATTCATACATAATACTCAATTAGTGCGGTAAAACATTATGCAGTTTAACCGTAGTAAAACATTCTACAGTTTAACCGTAGTAAAACCTTCTGCAGTTTAACCGTAGTAAAACCTTCTGCAGTTTAACCGTAGTAAAACATTCTGCAGTTTAACCGTAGTAAAACATTCTGCAGTTTAAACATAGTAATTGAAAATTGATTTTTCTTATAGTTACTAATGTATATACTAGCCACACTAATCAAGGGATTCTTGTATTAATATAAAATACAAATTGTATTGTAACCTAATGAGGTACAATAATGGATGCAATATAGGTGAATAATTCAACTCAAAAATTTGTAAATAAATACAGTTTATCTAAATACAAATTAGAGGCATGTCATAATAGATCATTTCATCTTAAATAAATCAACAATGGTTTGCTGCTATTTTTAATATCGACTTCAGATTTTTCTTAAAAAAGTTCAGTAATTTTAACACATTCAGCATTATGGATAAAAAAAAGCATAAAAAATAGTGAACTTTATATAGTGTCTTTTCGAGACTCATCACAAGCAAAACAAATACATGGATTTGGACAACAAAAAAGACCCCAGAATGACCTCAAAATCCGCAAAAATTTTTCACCCTTTAATAATCAGTTATTAATTTGTAGTGTATATAAATGTAGTTAGAAAAAAGCAAATGTTGATAAGATTGCAAGGGTCACTGCCCGGCGCCACCAAACAGGCTTGCGTACACCCCGATGGGGGAGTTCAGAGGTAGTACTCACCAACCCCGCATATTTGCTGAATTTCAGAGTGAAGATTTTGTAATGATGCTTGCCTCTACTAAGTTTCAATTTTCATAAGGTAGTCTTCATATAAAGTATAAATTGTATTGTAACCTAATTAAGTACAATAATGGATCATGTGAAATATAAGTGAATAATTTAACTCGAAAATTTGTAAATAAACACAATGTATTTAAATGCAAATTAGAGATATATCACAATAGATCATTCCATCTTAAATAAATCAACAATTTTTGTGACAATTTTTTGCACTGGCTCCCAAGGCCTTGATTCTTATCAGAGATAAGAATATATTTTCTGACTAAGGAGAGAGCTGGAAAATAAAAAGGAATTCCACCACCATTATTATTTCCATGATGCCATAAAGTCTGGGAGAAACCTCACAGCTTCTTCACTTCAACCTGTTTTCAGTATCTTCAAAACCGGATCCCAGGGCCCTGATTCTTATCAGAGAAAAGAATGTGTTTTCTGACCTATAGAGGGGCAAGGAAATTTGTAAAACGATTTTGGAGGGAAAAGTCCCTAATCCATCGGAGCCTACCAAAACTCCATAAATTTGGAGAATCTTGCCTATTTCGACAATGAGATTTCTGCCCACCGTCTGTGAAGGTCGACATTAGGAAGCTCCAGCACCTCTTTCAGCAAAGAAGAACTACTAAAAAGGGCTGTCAAAAACGAATGTCGGTCCACTATTCAAGACCAATCCAAAAAGCTGCATCCCTTCACCACTCCTTCTGACGAGCCCACTGGACTTCTGTCGTCGACCAAAAAAACTCACTCAGCTGCATGCTTCCTTCATCTGCAAACAAATTTCCAACTCTACAAGAACTGTGAGTGTATCTATCAGAACTTTAACAATAACATCTAATCGCTTAAAGAAATCTTTAGGTGCTCAGAGAAATATCTTGACTTTTGAGCAAGCCTTTTTAAGTTAAGAACATTTTCTCTTTTCCCTTTTTTTCTCTACTAATTGTCCTTTTATCCCTTTACCTTTTCTTTTCTTTTTTTTTTTTTTTTGTATGTGTTGTAAATAAACACTTTCTTTTGTTGTTACTCACCGAGCAGGAGTTTTTTCTTTATTCATACACGCCTAAAAGAGAGAGTTTGTCTGCTCTAATCTTGCAGTTTTACTTGCATTTTTTTGCAAAAATTTTAACCTCAACCCTATTTTTAACTTCAACCCTTTGATGTGGGAAAGCCAAGACAAATTTCCTAGCAATTTTTCTTGTTAGAAAGTTTAATAATTTTAACATATTCAACATTCTGGATAAAAAAAAAAGTAGTTATTGTTATATTGTGTTTTTCTTTCAAGACTTAGCATGAACAAAACAAATTCACAGATTTGGACGAAATAAAAAGACCCCCAGAATGATGTCAAAATACACAAATTTTTCATTCCTTAACAGTCACTTGTGCTTAGATTAATTTGTAACGTATATAAATCTAGGTAGAAAAAAGTAAATGTTGATAAGATAACGCGGATCACAAAATCCTGCCCAGAGCCCCCAATCAGGCTGGACACACCCTGGTCAAAGGGTTTGGTGATAGTACATATCAGCCGTGGCCACACACCTGAAGGCATGGTCAATCAGGAAGGGGTTCCTCCAGGGTAGAAGGCCCTGAACCTGTATTTGTTCTAATTAGATTTCATTTTTATTTTTTTTTTTTTTTAATGTAAGGCTAGGAATTTTTTTCAGCTTTTGTTTGCTTTTTTTTTTTTTTTCTAAGTTTTCATCTCTCTTCATACTTTGTACTTTCTTCTTCATTTCTCCCTTTGTCGTCCTTATATCTTTTCTTCTTACCTTTGTTTACCATATGCGTTTCTCTCCTCACTCTGTCATCTATGTGTGCATTTCAATTTTACCTTTGTTTTCCATACACCTTTTCCTTCATCCATACTTCCATCGTCCTCTCTCTCCTTGTTTGTCTTCTTTCTTCTTTTATCTCTCTTTCCTCCTTTCTTATTTCTTCTTTTAATAACTTTTGTCCCCTCCTCTTTCAATATTGTGTCCCTTTCTTTTCCTTCTTGCTTTGACTTTCATTTTCCTTTCCTCCTTTCTGTTCCTTTCTTTTCCTTCTCTCTTTCTTTCACATTCTCCTTCTCCCTTGGGGTTCTTTTGTTTTCCTTCTCACTTTCTTTTCCATTCTTCTTTCACTCTTTGTATCCCTTTCTTTTCTTTCACTCTTTCTTTTCCATTTTCCTTTCCTCTTTGTGTTCCTTCTTTTCCTTTCTCTTTCTTTTTCACATTCTCCTTCTCCCTTGGGGTTCTTTTTTGTTTTCCTTCTCTCTTTCTTTTGCATTCTCCTTCCCCATTTGTGTTCATTTCTTTTCTTTCTCACTTTCTTTTCCACTTTCTTTTCCATTTTCCTTTCCTTCTTTGTGTTCTTATCTTTTCCTTCTCTCTTTTACATTCTCCTTTACACTTTGTGTTCTTTTCTCTCTTTCTCTTCCATTTTCCTTTCCCTCTTTGTGTTCCTTCTTTTCCTTCTCTCTTTCTTTCACATTCTCCTTCTCCCTTGGGGTTCTTTTGTTTTCCTTCTCACTTTCTTTTCCATTCTTCTTTCACTCTTTGTATCCCTTTCTTTTCTTTCACTCTTTCTTTTCCATTTTCCTTTCCCTCTTTGTGTTCCTTCTTTTCCTTCTCTCTTTCTTTCACATTCTCCTTCTCCCTTGGGGTTCTTTTGTTTTCCTTCTCTCTTTCTTTTGCATTCTCCTTCCCCATTTGTGTTCATTTCTTTTCTTTCTCACTTTCTTTTCCACTTTCTTTTCCATTTTCCTTTCCTTCTTTGTGTTCTTATCTTTTCCTTCTCTCTTTTACATTCTCCTTCACAATTTGTGTTCTTTTCTCTCTTTCTCTTCCATTTTCCTTTCCCTCTTTGACTTCCTTCTTTTCCTTCTCTCTTTCTTTCACATTCTCCTTCCACCTTTGGGTTCTTTTGTTTTCCTCCTTTCTTTTTCATTTTTATTTCCCTTTTTGTATTCCTTTCTTTTCCTTCTCTCTTTCTTTTACATTCTCCTTCCCCCTTTGTGTTCCTTTCTTTTCCTTCTCTCTTTCTTTTACATTCTCCTTCTCCCTTTGTGTTCCTTTCTTCTCCTTCTCTCTTTCTTTTACATTCTCCTTCCCCCTTTGTGTTCCTTTCTTTTCCTTCTCTCTTTCTTTTCTATTTTCCTTTCCCTCTTTCTGTTCCCTTCTTTTCCTTCTTCCTCTGTCTTCTCTTTTTTGTCTTTTTTCTTTTAACATTTCTTTCCATACTTCTATTTTAATGTTATTTTTTTCTTCTATTAAAAAAGAAAAAGTTACCCTTTCTTACCCAAGCGCACATCATTCAACCCGTTATATGTTTCAATTCAATTTTAAAAGTTTCATTTAAACCCAAACTTCTGCTTTCTTTTTTTTCTCCATAAATGTAGATCCCTATGCAGAACTCTAAGTTGGCTTGGAGTCAAGGGAATAAAAAAAGAGAAAGGCCATCAGGACTATTTCAGAAGCTGCAGAAAAAAGCCTCCAAATGACTATGGATTAAAAGAAAATGATCGGATCCATGGAACTCAATGACAGAGATTGGTGGGCATTGAGGTACTGTCGGAAGGGGATGAAAAAAAGATGAAGGAAAGGAAAGTAAAAGAAGGGGGAGAGGAAGAGGGAGGGAAAAAGAGGAGGAGAAAAGAGGGGGGGAGATAAGAAATATTTCTGATCATAATTGCTATGACCAACAAATGTGTATGAATGTTTTTTTGTTTCTTTTTTAGTGAAGTATCATTTTCTAGAAGATAAAAACTTTCCTGGGGACAAGTAGAAATTACTTAAATGTTATGTCAAGCAGAATTTGTTGTTAATGTGGGTCTTTCTGCATGTTGGACCTCAGAGGGAAAAGACAAGCATTCCCTTTTATTCTCTTTTTGTCTCATCTTGGCTGAGGAGGAAGTGACGTAGGGTGTTTCTGATTTGTTGCTTGCTATTTCGAGATCATTAGTGGCAATTATGGCCATTGTTGCATGCTTGGTGAATCAATGCTTCACTTACTGGAATAGGTATTGTTTCGGTAGGGTAGGTGAACAAATAAGATGTTGAAAGATTCGAAACTTGTCATGACCCAACATCACTGATTAGGAGATCATGTGCACCTGTTGGAGTGGATTAATAAGCACATAATGTATAATTTTCGGAAATTTAACTGAAATATATTGGAAAATTGCCAAGTTTTCATCAAGTAAATATGAACTTTAAGCAAAATAGTCACATTATATGAAAAAAAAACGAAGTTGTATGTTTAAACCCCATGATATTCATTAAATATGATTTTTCTTCATCATCTTCATCTTCGTCATTTTTTCAACTACAGAACCAGATGTGTACAACCTAATCCTAGCCCATCCACCTGACCCGAAAATAATGGGGACCGACTTCCAAAATTTACGCACCCTGATGAGGCTGATCCCTTTCCTAAATAACAGTTTACTACTTGGTCCTGATGTCACCAATATGTGCACAAATAATGGGGGCTACATTAAATTTTTTAGCAGGTAAGGATTTTTTATTGATTCATTTTTTTAAAGTATCTGTCTATATTTCTGAGATGAGGTATTATGTACACTATTTACATTATTCGGACTATTGTCCTCATCTTTGTCGCCATATTTATTACAACGTTTCGGCCTTTCAGTATCTGTCTATATTTCTGAGATGAGGTATTATGTACACTATTTACATTATTCGGACTATTGTGCTCATCTTTGTCGCCATATTTATTACAACGTTTCTGCCTTTCAGTATCTGTCTATATTTCTGAGATGAGGTATTATGTACACTATTTACATTATTCGGACTATTGTGCTCATCTTTGTCGCCATATTTATTACAACGTTTCGGCCTTTCAGTATCTGTCTATATTTCTGAGATGAGGTATTATGTACACTATTTACATCATTCAGACTATTGTCCTCATCTTTGTTGCCATATTTATTACAACGTTCCAGCCTTTCAGTATCTGTCTATATTTCTGAGATGAGGTATTATGTACACTATTTACATTATTCAGAATATTGTCCCCATCTTTGTTGCCATATTTATTACAATGTTTTGGCCATTGTACACTCCGGCCTTCTTCAGGTGGTTGGAATGTCAAACTGAACCCTTTATTTCGCTCACTGGGGTAGACTGTTCACAATTTCACGTGCCATGTTTAATGGATGTCAGTTATCAGTTATCTCCTGTTAATTCCCCTCTCAAGTTCTCCACTGCCTAAAATTGGTATTGAATCACACTCTTTCCTGTCACTGGATCTAACTAGGGAGTTTATCCACTTATCCAGTGGAGGACCCAAGTGTGAGTTCAATGCCTGGTTAAGAGGAGAAACAGACATCCACAGGAAAAAACATTAAAAAACATGGAACGTAGAAACAGTCTAGCCCAGTCAGTGAAATAAAGGGTTCAGTTCGACATTCCAACCACCTGAAGAAGGCCAGAGCGTACAACGTCCGAAACGTTGTAATAAATATGGCAACAAAGATGAGGACAATAGTCCGAATAATGTAAATAGTGTCATTTTTTACAGTTTATCAACCCTTTGCTGGTTATTTAAAACCAGAAAATGCCTTTAGATTATAAGTGTTTTCTTTTTTTTAGATAATGTTTTCGTGATACCAACAAGAAATTATGTGAATATAAAGTGAGGGATCAATATATAAATTGATTCCTCACTTTGTGGTCATAGTCATTTCTATACATTTATATTCCAGCAAATGTAAATAAATCTAAAAGACACGCCTGTGTAGCTAATCAGTATTTCATTGATTGATTGATTTGTTTTCTACGGCTTATCAACAAAAGAAATTATATGTTGATATAAAGTGGGGGATCCATTCTATGTTACAATCAATATGTAAACTGATCCCTCAATTTGTGTTTTTTTTTTTTTTTTTTTACAAATATTCACCAATACAAGGCCCAAGTGCCACTCAAGGCAATGATTTACTGTGTGGAGTTACATTAGCGTAGGAAAGGACAAGCATTAGGCATATAGAGCTGAAGCAGACTTTAGAAAGATTTTTACACATTTCTATTCCAGAGAATCTAAATAAATCTAAAAGACATGCCTGTGTAGCTAATCAGTAATTCATTGATTGATTGATTCGTTTCCTACGGCTTATCAAACAAGAAATTATAATGTTGATATAAAATGGAGGATCAATTCTATATTACAATCAATATATAAACTGCGCCCTCACTTTGTGGCCAGAGTAGTTTCTATATATTTCTATTCCAGAAAATGTAAATAAATCTAAAAGTCATGCCTGTGTAGCTGATCAGTATTTCATTGATTGATTGATTTGTTTTCTACTGCTTATCAACCCTTTGCAGGTTATTTAATGCCAGCAAATATTTTTAGATTGTAAGATGATAATAATGATTTAGTGATAAAAGTCTTACTAATTAACCCATACCTGGTGGGAGAAGAGGTGAAATCCTAACTTCTTACTCCTGTGTCACTAATCAGTATTTCATTGATTGATTGAGTCATTTTCTGTCTTAACATTTTTGCAGGTTATTTAAAGCCATATTCCCAAACTAAAAGGATGCTTCTCCAATCACTATAATCTTAACCTGTTTAAGTCTAGAGTTAATTGTTATCTTCCACAAATATCCATATAAGCTGCGCCTTTTACTCTGTAAGCCTCTAGCTTGAGTGGCCCTCGGGCTTTGTACAGGATTAACATCATTGTAAAAAAGAAAATGTTGAATACTTATAGACTCAAATATACCATGTGTAACAGCAAAATTGTCCATTTGTTAAATTAAGCTTTGAATCGTTGTATCTTAGAAATGATTAAAGATATCTTACTGGAATTCTCTGAGGTTTTTATAACACTATTGGACTCTCCTTTGGACAATATGAATTTATTTAGCTCTAAGTTGAAATGATGATCCCTCTTGCTGTTGTGACCTCCTGATCAAGTTTTCCTCTCTACTATTCCCCCTTTTTTAAACTTCTTCACCATTCACTTGAGGGTTCTTGAAAGGACTTAGAAGATGGAAGCTAGAGTATGAATGTTGGTTCCATTACTGAAGGCCTGAATGATCTTTTTCATCTCACCATTACTCAGTTAGGAAGACATAGTGGGGCTGACAGAATGATTTTAACCTGTTCTCTTTCTAGCTGAATAACTCAAAGGGTTTTTTCATAATTCTTATGAAAAATGGTATCAAGATGGCTAAACACCTTATCGGAAAACCTGGAAAAAAGAAACTCAATTAATTTAGTGGTATTTAGATATTAAACATTTTGTGGGATGAACAGTTATCACAGGCTGTTAAAGGATTTGGACACTACTGTGTTACACTCAGTAAATGACACATATTTACCTATCTCCAAACCAAATACATGCTTACAGATAAAAATATAAATAGCAAATGTTTACCTGGTTTCGACCCAAGTAAATACTAATAGACTCTAAAATAAATGACATATCTATCCCTATCTCCAAGTAAATGGTAAAAAATTCAAATAGAAATGGTCAATATATACCTATCCACAAGACAAGTAAATACTTGCAGACATAAATATAATTGACCAATATATACCTAGCTCTGAACAAAGTAAAAGCTTATAGACTTAAATATAAATGACCAATATATATGTAATCTTGAACCAAGTAAAAACAAAAATATAAAGACCAATATAATACTTTGCCTTGATCAAAGTAAATTCTTATAGACACAAATATATACAACCGGTATTTACCTATTCCAGAATCAAGTAAATGCTTATAGACTCAAATATAAATGACCAATATATACCCAGCCTTGAACCAATTAAATGCTTATAGACTCAAATAAAATTACCAATATATACCCAGCCTTGAACCAATTAATTGCTTATAGACTCAAAAATAATTGACCAATATATACCCAGCCTTGAACCAATTAATTGCTTATAGACTCAAATATAAATGACCAATATATACCCAGCCTTGAACCAATTAATTGCTTATAGACTCAAAAATAATTGACCAATATATACCCAGCCTTGAACCAATTAATTGCTTTATAGACTCAAAAATAATTGACCAATATATACCCAGCCTTGAACCAATTAATTGCTTATAGACTCAAAAATAATTGACTAATATATACCCAGCCTTGAACCAATTAATTGCTTATAGACTCAAAAATAATTGACCAATATATACCCAGCCTTGAACCAATTAATTGCTTATAGACTCAAAAATAATTGACCAATATATACCCAGCCTTGAACCAATTAATTGCTTATAGACTCAAAAATAATTGACCAATATATACCCAGCCTTGAACCAATTAATTGCTTATAGACTCAAAAAATAATTGACCAATATATACCCAGCCTTGAACCAATTAATTGTTTATAGACTCAAAAATAATTGACCAATATATACCCAGCCTTGAACCAATTAATTGCTTATAGACTCAAAAATAATTGACCAATATATACCCAGCCTTGAACCAATTAATTGCTTATAGACTCAAAAAATAATTGACCAATATATACCCAGCCTTGAACCAATTAATTGCTTATAGACTCAAAAATAATTGACCAATATATACCCAGCCTTGAACCAATTAATTGCTTATAGACTCAAAAATAATTGACCAATATATAACCAGTCTTGAACCAAGTAAATGCGTAGAGATAAAAATATAATGACCAATATAATACTTAGCCCTGATCAAAGTAAATGCTTATAGACTCAAATATAAATGAAAATATATACCCAGCCTTGAAACAATTAAATGCTTATAGACTCAAATATAAATGACCAATATATACC